CCCTATTCGCACGGGATTAGTATTACCTGGTGACCTCCAGTCATTTGTAATAATTGCGGAGGTTGTCTGTGATCTTAATCCCATGCGAATCGGCCATGTCTGTAATCTGTAAAGTAAAAATTCCCCCGCAAATGACCTACCATATTTCGCCGAACACCGAGGTCCTGTTATAATATTAGTCCCGTGCGAATCGGCATCTCTGTGATTTAGCCAGCATTTGGCGGGTCGTATATCATTTTTCGAGGTTTTTGTTTCCTGTGCGCCTTTTTGTCCATCTTTCGCGAAGAATGGAGTTGCGTTGGGAATGTTTGATAGTATTTTGGGTGCTGTCATATCACTACACCATACAATTTGCAAAAAGAGAGCTGAAAAGGCTTTGAGGTTAATGTGTTACAAATAAATCAAGCATAAAGCTTGAGATATTATTTTATCCTGGTGAAATGTAAATGACACGGGGCACGAAACTATATTAGTTTCTTTCTTTTTTTTTTAATCCATCTAACCGGACCATAGAACGGGACTCTTAAAGCCCTGACATCGTATGCGGGAGACAAGTCAGTAAATTCGAGTAAAATCACAGGCTTCGCTTATCCCGTGCGAATGCAACACACGAAATTCAGATTGGGGGGGGGTTATTTCAAAATCACACAAGGTCCCCAAATAATACTAATCCCGTGCGAATAGGGCTATAGAAAAGCATAATTCCGAGGACGTGAACAAACTCCGAGTAGAAGGTCATGTGCTGTCATCTCGAAATTATGGTAATTACGATATGGACGCAGCATAAGACCTCACTGGGACCTCACTATATATATATATATATAGCTTTAAATAGGATTTTTATCCTATCAACATTTCTGATGCACTGAAATTTCATAAATCTTTTTACCAATTTCAATATCACAAAAAAATACTAGCCTAACGAAAAACAAGCTTACTGAAGAAAAGTAAACAGTCACAAATTACAATAGAACAAAGATACTTAAAACACTAAATAAGAAATATTATATTGAATAAAGTAAATGTACAAATACTCATTCACTGTATTCACTGTATACATTCAATATACATTAATTCTGATTTATTTTAAAAAAGTGATTCAGTCAAGGACAGCGAGTGGTTTTCTTTCTGATGTTTGATTTACATTATTGACACAAATGGCAACAGCAGCTATATTAGGCTGCTTTAGAGGAATAGTTCACCCAAAAATGAAAATTCTGTTGCTGTTCTAAACCTGTATGAGTTTCCTTCTGCTGTTGAACGCAAAAGAATATATTTAACCAAACAGTTGCTAGGCCCCCATAGTATGAAAAAATACACTATTAGAGTCAATGGGGACCAGAAACTTTCTGGTTACAAACATTCTTCAAAATGTCGTCTTTTATGTTGAGGAGAACAAAGAAATTAATACAGGTTTAGAACAACTTGAGGTTGAGTAAATGATGACAGTATTTTAATTTTTAGGTGAACTATCCCTTTAAGATCTCATCATATTTTATATGACTATGCAACCGATGGCCAGTCAATCTACTCCACAGCCAATCACGGCCCCCCCTCCTTGCTCGGGCCCCGGGGCTTCAGCCCTATTGTTAATGCGGCCCTGGTTTTCCCCAAAAATGACAACAACCACATTTATTTTTATATTTTACTATTTAGTTGACTGCTGGGAATGCCACGCTATAGAAAATGGAGTTTCAGTATAATGTTCTTATCTATTATTATCAGTCATTTTTACACTTTCATAATTTTCTGAACCCTTTTCTCTCCTCTTGTGAACGAAATCTGAACACGAACAGAAGACACTCATTCAAAAAGATATGGCAGGAATTGTAATGTATGCTGTTTCGAAATTTAGCCAGAGTTTTTTAAGGCAGGAAAACAGTGAAAGGGAGAGACTTAAGTAGGCTAAACGAACGATACAGTGTATGCAAATCAATGAGAACATACATAAATCATATGACAATAACGTCGACTTTTTACATTTGAATATTGATGCCCCCGAAAAGCTTAAAAAGTTACTGAATTGAACTGAATAAGCAATCATCAATTTGAATTATTATTTCGACTCACCAGACCACATGGTGTCGCTGTTGATTTTAACTTGACCCACTTATGGTTCTATGATGGCTCTTGCTTCGAGCCCTCGACCATAGAAGAACGTGTCACGTGCTGTGTGAGTGTGTACGATAGTGTACGCCAGTTATAACCTTGAACGCTGATTCTTATATATATTCGTTGATGAGTTTTCAACCCTACAGCAAGAATGTTACAGATGAAAAATCGCTTGAAATATTGCTCTGTCGCAGTCGCTGCGA